TTGTCTCTTAAGGGAACTCACATCCTCCTTTGTAAAGTATCTGAGGGTGAAATCCCTCTGAGACAGCTGGAAGGTTCTCTTCAGATACTGCTTGTTGTCTTTGCCCTTCTTCCAGAGTGTGGATTCAAACAGATCTAGAGCACATAGATCAGGAAAACCATTGAACATCCAGCTTTTTGCTTCAATGACATAGAAATATACACCCTGTAAAATAAAGGATGCTGCTGTATCTAATAAGACCTGCTGCAGTCACTCTGTCTGCACTGAGGAAGGTTGACTCACCTCAGCATGCTGGAGGCATAACTAAGTAAGTCTGACCACCTAATCTGCACAATAATTGGTGATTGAACTTTTTATTACGGCTTTATCTTATTCTAAGACATAAAAACGTGAATTGAATAATTTAATTACACGTCCACCTCTCAAAGTGGGACTAGAGCAACAGAGAGAGAAATGCAGACGGACGAATCGTTGTTCCATAAAGTCCAAATGTTCTGACCTTTCATTCAAAGCTAGAAGGAAAATGGAGAACTGGGAATAAATTGACCTCTGAGCTGATTGGTTTGGCAAAAACGCTGTTCTAGCTCCATTTTAGAGACGTAAACAGCGTTGAAACGTCGTCTTCTAAAAACAACCAAGTACTACGTGACTAACTGACTTCTTAATAATAATTTATCTCACATTGGAGAAATTTATCTCTGCATTTAAACTCCCCTAAATGTTAAACTCCTTCTTGCTCGATGATGTAATAAAGAACTGCCAGAACTAGTAGAAGCATTCCGGAACATTCAGCCTGAACGCTTCTCAGATCTCCAACCTTTGGCCGAACTTTCCTTCTGCTCCTGGAAAGGTTCAACAGTTACCTTGATTGTAAGTTTGCAGAAAGTCGTTTCTTTCTCCAGTGAACTCCCTTCTTTCATACTTTGCACGGATCCATTGGTCCTTCAGAACACTGAAGCAAAGCAAAAACATTTCCATTTGCTTTCACCAGGATTTACACAATCATTAACTCCATGTTTGTGTCCAATCACCAAATTATTCTCCTCTGCCGTTCATTAAAAGGACGGATGAGTCCCACCACCTATGCTAACACTACCTATGCTAACACCACCTATGCTAACACCGCCTATGCTAACACCGCCTATGCTAACACCGCCTATGCTAACACCACCTATGCTAACACTACCTATGCTAACACCACCTATGCTAACACCACCTATGCTAACACCGCCTATGCTAACACCAACTATGCTAACACTACCTATGCTAACACCACCTATGCTAACACCACCTATGCTTACACCACCTATGCTAACACCACCTATGCTAACACCACCTATGCTAACACCACCTATGCTTACACCACCTATGCTAACACTACCTATGTTAACACCGCCTATGCTAACACCAACTATGCTAACACTACCTATGCTAACACCACCTATGCTAACACCACCTATGCTAACACCAACTATGCTAACACTACCTATGCTAACACCACCTATGCTAACACCACCTATGCTTACACCACCTATGCTAACACCACCTATGCTAACACCACCTATGCTAACACTACCTATGCTAACACCACCTATGCTAACACCACCTATGCTAACACCGCCTATGCTAACACCAACTATGCTAACACTACCTATGCTAACACCACCTATGCTAACACCACCTATGCTTACACCACCTATGCTAACACTACCTATGCTAACACCACCTATGCTAACACCACCTATGCTAACACTACCTATGCTTACACCACCTATGCTAACACCACCTATGCTAACACCACCTATGCTAACACTACCTATGCTTACACCACCTATGCTAACACCACCTATGCTAACACCACCTATGCTAACACCACCTATGCTTACACCACCTATGCTAACACTACCTATGCTTACACCACCTATGCTAACACTACCTATGCTAACACCACCTATGCTTACACCACCTATGCTTACACCACCTATGCTAACACCACCTATGCTAACCCTAACCACTGCAACTAATGTAAATTTAAGCTAGTAATTTTTTCTTAAAATTAGTTCATTTTTATTGAATTGAGGAGGTAAGTGAGACACTTTGAATGGAACAATTTACATTTAAATTAAGAAAAAACTGTTGCAAAAATCATCTTATCTGCCAGCTCACATTAAGGGTAAATACGCTTAATTTAAGAAATGTTTACTTATTTCTAGATCAGTTTTCCAGTGTGAGGTCAAATAAAAAAGGTGAAATAAAAACTCACATGCAGTCGTGATGCCGCGGCCTGTAATAGAAGGACGGGACACACTTCTCAAAAACAGCTTTGGCAGCAGTATTTCCCATCTGTTGCATGAACTGAAACCACAGAATGACGGGTTTTAGGAGGACAGCGCATGTTTTTCAGCTTCCTTCCCATTTTTAAACCAAACTTTTAGAAATCTGTGTTTATTGAATAGTTGCTGCAGGTTAGAGGTGGATTATCACTTATTTCCAATTAGCTGAACTCCTGGACAGTAAAATGTTTCACCTGAAAGGAGAATTACAGTTTTGGGTCAAATGTTAGAACTTCAAAAACGTTTCAGTATTTATCAAGAACTCCTTTGCGGTCCTAAGTTGCTACCATGGTAACCTGCACACAGGGGTTAGTAAAGGAGTGTGATAATAAGCAAACTGAGGTTCTTCAAAAATATTCTTCCAACTGTGAAAACAATAAATCTATAACAGATCACTTTATAATAAGACTTTTAGGCCAAATATGAAGCAAATAATTCTAAAGTTGATGCAACAAATCAGAGAGTTTCGTTTAATGAAAATGTGTTGCATGCGAACTGAAACAACAAACAAACAAGGAAGCATCATTTGAATCAATGAGAAATGAAGCAAAGTTCCCATCTCTACCTGAACTAAAGAGTCTTCCCAGTAATCCAGGCGTATGGATTTCACTCTGCTGACTGAGGGCAGGTTACGGTGCATCCCAGAACAGTTCAGGCACACAAACACGCCGAGCGTGTACGAGGCCCAGTCAGGCTCTGCGAGGGCGAACCAACATGTGGGAAGAATGAAAGGAAAAAAAACAGATCATTTTCTGTTCTACAGGTAGCGTGGCGGAGGCTTCCTTTCAAAGGGTTGGCCGATCGCTCTAAGAGGAACAATTAGGTCATAACGCAGCTACATAGAGTCCCTGCTTCCCTAAATCACACTCAAACGGGACCAAAGCAATAGAATCTGGGTTTTTAAACATTTGCCTCTAGCTGCTCTTTACTGTTATTAAATGAGAGCACTGAAACAAGGAATTAAAGAAATAAAGGTTTTAAAAAGTCCAGATTTCCCCCTGCAGCTGAGGGCGTACTCACCAGGAGCAGCACAGTCAGCACACAGGTCGTTTCCCGCCTGCTGCACCAGATCCAGCAGGATTCGGTTGTTTCTTCCCTGACTGGCCATAGAGGAAAGCTGCCTGTTTCTACCAGCAGATTCAGCTACTAGGTATCAACTCCATGCTGGTTCCAGCTCTGCTCGGCGGCAGCTAGAAAACGCTGCTTCTTCTCACTGGGCCGGTATTTCCTCTTAGCAGGGCAGCATCATGAAGTTAATTGTTCTGCATACAAAACACAGACATCCAGAAATAACCGAGAAAGGAAGTGAAAGAAACGTCAGTCGGCCTCACAGTGACTGACTGACCGTATCAGCCCTCTGGCTCATATAAAAGGTTGGAGTTTGACTGGAATGGGGGAGTCCTTATCAGTCACTCTGTTACTCTATAACAGCTGGAGAAGCTGGCGGCTGACGGATACAGACTGTTTGACCAAACTCTGCTTGATCAGAGATAATGTTTAAGAGATTCATTGATTTTCATCCAAGACGAGGTTTGGATGTTTGGTGGAGCAAGACGTGAACCTGCAGGTTCCAGACTAGCACCTTTAGCACTGAGGGTGAAGCTGGGGAGGGATTGTTCACCAGGACAAAGGGAGGAAAAGTTTGGACAAACTTGGACAATAAACTATAGAGAATAAGGAAGCAGCCGATAGATGTTTGAGCAGAATGTGAACATAAAAGGTTAAGAGTTTCATTTTAAAGCCACTAAACTGAGAAGAGCAGAGATGTCGTCTTTCTCATCCCTGAAGAGGTTTAACCTTTTAGTAACTTTACTGTTTCTTCTAAACACATTTAGGGGGTGAGCCTCATTGAAAACGCAATTCTATTCAGTTTATTTCTATAGCTCCAATTCACATCATGTCATCTCAGGTCACTTTCCAGTTCACCAGATCATCCAGTCAGATTGATTCAAAGTTTTCTATCTAAGGAAAACCAGCTGATTGCATCGACTCATTGACTCTTCAGCAATCCCTCACACTAAGCATGCTTGTAGCGACAGTGGAGAGGAAAAACTCCCTTTGAACAGGAAGAAACCTCCAGCAGAACCAGGCTCAGTGTGAGCGGCCATCTGCTGAGGAAATCTTTATTGTGAACTTAAAATTAGAAACTTCATGTTCAAGGTTTAAAACCTGGAGTCAAAGTTCTAAAAATCTAAAACTATTTTGCTGAGAGGGGAAGAAGAGGCGTCCGTTCGCCCTGAAGAATATTCTAATGCTGGAACTGGTCGCCTACTGGATCTTAGCTCTAACCAGTTAGCAGGAATTATAGGAAAGCCTAAATATGGCGCTCGATGGCCCCGTTTCTTTTATTTAGGACAGCTAATTGAGCACATTTGGTGTTTGCTGCTCTCTAAAAAACTTCATGACAGAACAGAAACTTTCTTTGACTTCTTTACTTCTGGCAGGAAAGAAGAAATAAAAATCAGTTTTGCGTCATTGTTGAATCCAGTCATGTTGTTTTAATCCAAACCAGCAAAACTCCTGGAAATGATTTCAAACATGACATCATTTTTAACCCCTTAGTGTCAGATGTTGGCTTCCTGACCTCTGGGATCATAGATGGAGTCGATCGATCCATCCATCCATCCATCCATATATATATATAATATATTATATATATATATATATTATATATATATATAATAAAACGTTACAGAGACGGGTGACGTCAAGGGGCGTTTCTTCAGCAGAATGTGTCCATTTGGTTTATAATATTTTCAAATATAATCATAGTTTGTATAAAAAGGCAAAGGACTTAGGGAATCACGATTTTTTTATTTTTTTATTTTTTTTTACTTTTATTTAATAAATTCAAAAAACACTTTCAGAAAAGCAGAAACCTACAACTGAACATATGCCATCCATAACCGCCTTATTGTTCTCCAGTAACTTTATCGAGGCATGAAAACTTTTAATATCGTTTTGGAATGCTTGAAAATGTGGATAAACTTTATAGAATCTGCATTTGTGGATAAAGAATTTTCCCATAATGAAAATATTATTACATAAAAATTCCACATTTTTATCATTAAAAGTAATGCCAAATTTAACTCCTTTATATTCAAAATTAGGAATCACATTTTTTGTAGATAACGATCATAAATCTTGTCCCAAAAATACGTAACCACACAACAATTGTAAAAAGGGTTAGGGTTTTAAAATGAACTTCTTTCATCTTTGGTAGGAAATGAGAAAAATCCTGTTCTGACCTTAAGAACTTCTATCTCTGAAAACACGTTTAAAGATAAGTTCCTCTTAACTGGGAGAGGAAAAATTGTGTTGTTTATGTGTTCTCTTATCATTTTGTTATTCATTTTGAGATCCGTAAAATCGTAATTATCTATAAGGAGAGTGGGAAAGATCAGTGTTACATCAGAATATTTAATCCTTCCTTTGACCAAATTCATCATGGTTGCCAGAATTGCCCTAATCAAAGATAGAAATTGTTTCCTTGGACAATCTAAATTATATTTTCTTTTAAATACTGTATAATCCAGAATATCACCGTTTGTGTCCATAAGATGTATAATGGCCCAGATACCCTTTTCCTCCCATTCTCTGTACTATAGACATTTTCTCTTATACAAAATAAATTTGTTATTCCAAATAATCCTATTATGTGGCGTAAAATTGTGTTCGTATAACATTTTCCAATACTTTAGAACTTGTGTGTGGTATTCTGATAATTTAATCGGTAATTTGACAGGATCAAAGTTACATCTTAAGAGAAATTATATTCCTCCATTTTTTTGAAAAAGTTGTGAAGGGAAACAAAACCATAAACTTGTTTCATTTTTAATTAAAGTCTGCAGCTATTTTAATTTTATTACAGCATCCATTACTTCAAAATCAAAAACATTTATTCCTCCTCTTTCTTCTGACTTTACTATGTTGTTCTTTCTGATCAGATGTCGTTTATTATTCCATATGAAATTGTAATGAATTTGATAAATGTTTTTTATCGTAGTATTTGTTATATTTAAGGTAAATGCTGGATAAATTAGTCTGGCTATCCCATCTGTTTTAGTTAATAATATTCTTCCAAAAATTGAAATGTTCCTTTGGAGCCAACTTTTAAATATTTGTTGATTTTTTTGTAAAATTGGTTGAATAATTGTTCTTTCATTATCAGTGTGGTCCTTGTTAATTATTACACCTAAATATTTGATCTTATTCTTTGCTTTGTTATTATGAATTAAAGTGGATTGATTATTTTGAATTGATTGATTGATTTCACATTTTTCCATTTTCAATTTTAGGCCTGAAGCTTTAGAGAGGAAATAAACTGCTTCTAAAGCCTCAGGTATTTGGTCAGCATTTTTAAGAACACCGCTGTATCGTCTGCTAACAGTGTAATATCAAAGTTTGTACCTGGGAAACTTAGTGGACTTATCTTGCTGTTATTTTTAATGTTTAATGCTAATAGTTCTGTTCCTATTATAAAAAGCAGTGGGCTAATCGGGTCGAATTCCTCTTTTTACATCAAATCTCCTGATATTTCCTGACTGAAGCAATTCCGAGCTTCTTATGTCTTTATATAATGTAGAACAATGTTTATATTTTTTTTCCAAAGCCAAATTGTTATAATGACTTTATTATGAAAGGGTTTCTATTTTATCAAATGCTTTAAGGAAATCTGAGAACAAAATGATTCCTTCATCTTCTATAAATTGTTTGTATCTATTTTTTTAATTAAAAGAGTATTTTCCTGGAAACTGATCGCATAACCAGTTTTATTTTGAAAATCCATGAGAAAAATATATTTCCGGGTCACAGACGTATTTCCGGTAGAGGTCACTGAGCGCTCCGTTGCTAATGTGAGGAAAATTAATCCTGAAATGGTTTCATAACTAAAGGAAGAAGGATCGATGTGGCTCCTTAGAAGATTCCTGTCGCCGGTGGTTAGAAGAGGTTGGTCTCCATGGTGATTTGATCCCCATGCAGCGGTCTGTAGTTCAGCTCCCTGAAGGTGGCTGGAGCTTTAGTAGGCCTGTTAAAATGCCTGAATGAAATGAATCCCGCGCTCTTTAATTCACTCTTATGTTTTTAGCAGCTGTTTAATTTGGGATCAAAGCAAACTAGCTCTCAATACTAAAAACGATTACGTCATATACAATGACAAACGTGAAGAAATAGAACTATGAAAATAGATTAAAGACATCTTTCTAGAAGGTATCATCGGTAAGGATCTTAGTTAAAAATCTATGGGTTTAAGAGAAAGTGAACATTTTAATAAATCAATCAGGATTAATCAGTTTGTTAAACTCAAAGATCAGATTATATTTCAGCTGCTGTGTGGAGATTAAAACCAGTTAATCTACACATTAAATTTACATTATAATAAAGGGCAGAGGAATCTATTAATAACACAGAAATTAATATTTCCAGTGAACATCAAAGAAAGGTAAGAAAAATAGAGAAAAAGATAAAACCTTTAAGGAGGAAATGTATAAAAATAAATAGATTATAATCCAAAGTTATAGACAGTCACAGTAAAATGAATTAATTTGTGGAACAGATTTAAAGCTGCAGGGTTAGTGATTGAATTAGGTCTGGAATATTTCTAAACTTTAATATATATTTAATCTATAGGCTGTAAATGACAGTAAATATCAGAGAGAAGCGACGCAGAGATGGAAAATGATCTAAAGTTCTTCTTTTATTGAGGATGTTTGTGTGAAATGTAAATGATTTGCAGGTCGCCATGCCGGGCGGCTGGGCTTCCTCCTCCAGCCGCGCTACGGTTCCCGTCCGGCCGACCTGGAGCTGCGTTACCTTCAGTGCACCTGCTGCTGGAGGAGCAGGGTTCCCGTGGCCGGCTTCGAGACCTTGAACGCCTCGCTCACCTCCCCGTCTGAAGCCCGTAAGGAGGAAGACGGCGGGAGTACGCTGGACGCCTGCTACACCTCGGAACAGCGGGACGCCATCCTGCAGCTCCTCAACAACGCCACCTCGGCGGAGCTGGCCGGGGTCAAGCTGCTGAGAGGCCGCAAGTCACTGAGCATCGTGGAGTACAGGACCAAACACGGACCTTTCCGAACTCTGGAGAGCGTGGTCAACGTTCCGCTGCTGAAGCACAAGAGCGCCGTCACCGTGTTTAACGCCATCCTGAACCCGGTGAGGAAGGAGAAGAAGGTCAGGGTCCAGCTGGCCAAGTTCATCCGGCCGGAGGTCGACCGGTCCTGGTTGGAGGTGAGATCCAGGCGTCTGAGGAGCAGAGCTTTATCTAGGATTAACCTTTAACACCTTTTGCTTCTCAACATGGATGCAGCTTTATAGGAGTTCTTCCATTTAGCCCCGTTTACCCCGGTACCCCTAAATAGAAATCAGTGGTTCTGCATCAATTCTGCCTGAATAGTTGATGTAGTTTTCTTCCTGTGTAAATGAGGCAGTCCCTGAAGGCATCACAGTTTTGCTAAAAGCTTTGGAGAACAAACGAGGATCAAGAAAAACATCAACAGATGAAGTTATGATATAAGGAGAGTTTTCCTTACAAACTGGGTAGAAGCTTATGGTGGAGCTCTGGTTCCCATCATGCTGCCCAGTTTAGGGCAGCGACCTGACTGGGCGTAGGTGGAGGAGGGGGCGGCACCGCCCTCATCCTGTAACGCAGAGGCGGCAGAAGATGCTGATGGCGACACAGAAAAGACGCCTCAGCTGCGGTCAGAAGCTGCCGGAGGTCGAACCGGGTCACAGCCAATCATCTCTGTTCACTGGATTGCTAATAGCCTGAAAAATTCAAGGCATCGGCCGCCATGTTGGTACTCCCCACTCCCACAGTGCAGTAAAATGCCTCCCTGTGCAGCATTTAGCTGCTAAAACCAGGAAGACGTTCCTCAGGTCATTTCCCAGTCAGTGGATGAACTAAGCAATAAATCCATTTTTTATTCTAAGTTAAAGTTAATCTACTGATGCTATGAAACAGTCAGTCTGTGTCAAACTGATGAATTTATCTTTATTTTAAAAGTCTGAAAATGAGAACATTGTGGTTGTTTGATGCTGTAGCGCACCGATTACATTCTGACCGGTCTAACTAGGGAGTACCAATATGGTGGCTGGTGACTCCATCCCGTACTACCGACGGGCAATCAGCAATCCAGTGAACAGAGGTCAGAGGTCAGAAGCAACATGCTTCCCTCACAGATGGAAAACGGTCCTCTGCTGGTAAACAGTCACAAGGAAGGATTCATTTTTAACCCAATTAACAGAAAACCTGGATTTTATTCTCTCATCCAATCAAGGAATAAATAAACAGACCCGATGTAGAGAAGGGGAACAGAAAGATGGAGCGAAAGGGAGCAGATCTAGAAGGAAACCTGTTGGCTGCAGAAACAAAGACTGTGTTAGAAAACCTGGACTAGATCCTTCCAAGTCCGTGAAAATAAGGAGACCGGAAGAGTTTGGGCTGTGAATTCGATCAGGTCTACCTTTCTGCGGGTTTTACCGCCGCTATGCTCTGTTGCTTAGCAACCGTGAAAGTTTACACATTACAAGTTTTATATATTTCTTTTTTATTAAGTGAACAAAGACTGATTTAATCAAGAGTGGAATAACGGTTCCAACCACCGGCAGCAGGAACCAATCAAATCAAATGTAATGATAGAAACCTTAGTCAGTTAAATAACCTGCTGCTGTCATTCTGCACATCTCTGATGTTGCTGCTATTTTCAATTACTGTAAAAATGTCCACAGCTGCATATTGGTTATTTATTCTCCAGTTTTATATTGTTAAAACACTTTACAGGATTTTATTGTTTATATTTTAACTCTTCACTATTATGTTATTCTTTATTCTATTGTGTGACCATTTTCAATAATCTTTCTGCTGCTGTAAATCTGCCCATTGTGGGACAATAAAGGGATTTTGTATACATTGTTAAGTAAATCTTAACAATGTATGTATAAAAAATATATCTGCAAAATTTCTGATATTCAACAACAAAAATTCTTAGTTAAGCAAATTGTGCAAAACAGCAATTCAAAAATTAAACTCGTATCAGATTTATAGAGAGGCTGTCAGAGTGGCTAACAGAGTGGCTAACAGAGAGGCTAACAGAGAGGCTGTCAGAGTGGCTAACAGAGTGGCTAACAGAGTGGCTAACAGAGAAGCTGTCAGACTGGTTAACAGAGAGGCTGTCAGAGTGGCTAACAGAGAGGCTAACAGAGATGCTGTCAGAATGGCTAACAGAGAGGCTAACAGAGTGGCTTATAGAGAGGCTGTCAGAATGGCTAACAGAGAGGCTAACAGAGTGGCTTATAGAGAGGCTGTCAGAGTGGCTAACAGAGAAGCTGTCAGACTGGCTAACAGAGTGGCTAACAGAGTGGCTTATAGAGAGGCTGTCAGAATGGCTAACAGAGAGGCTAACAGAGTGGCTTATAGAGAGGCTGTCAGAGTGGCTAACAGAGAAGCTGTCAGAGTGGCTAACAAAGAGGCTGTCAGAGTGGCTAACAGAGTGGCTAACAGAGATGCTGTCAGAATGGCTAACAGAGAGGCTAACAGAGTGGCTTATAGAGAGGCTGTCAGAGTGGCTAACAGAGAAGCTGTCAGACTGGCTAACAGAGTGGCTAACAGAGTGGCTAACAGAGGCCGTCAGAGTGGCTAACATAGAGGCTAACAGAGAGGCCGACAGAGTGGCTAACATAGAGGCTAACAGAGAGGCCGTCAGAGTGGCCAACAGAGAGTCTTTCACAGTGGCTAACAGAGTGGCTAACGTAGAGGCTAACAGAGACAGAGTGGCCAACAGAGTGGCTAACAGAGAGGCTGTCAGAGAGGCTAACAGAGAGTCTTTCACAGTGGCTAACAGAGAGGCTAACGTAGAGGCTAACAGAGTAGCTAACAGAGACAGAGAGGCTAAAAGAGGCTGTCAGAGTGGCTAACAGAGAGGCTGTCAGAGTGGCTGTCAGAGTGGCTAACAGAGAGGCTGTCAGAGTGGCTAACAGAGTGGCTAAAAGAGAGGCTGTCAGAGTGGCTAACAGAGTGGCTAAAAGAGAGGCTGTCAGAGTGGCTAACAGAGAGGCTAAAAGAGAGGCTGTCAGAGTGGCTAACAGAGAGGCTAACAGAGTGGCTAACAGAGAGGCTAACAGAGTGGCTAACAGAGAGGCTAACAGAGAGGCTAACAGAGAGGCTGTCAGAGTGGCTAACAGAGAAGCTGTCAGACTGGCTAACAGAGTGGCTAAAAGAGAGGCTGTCAGAGAGGCTAACAGAGAAGCTGTCAGAGAGGCTAACAGAGTGGCTGTCAGACTGGCTAACAGAGTGGCTGTCAGAGTGGCTAACAGAGAGGCTAACAGAGAAGCTGTCAGACTGGCTAACAGAGTGGCTGTCAGAGTGGCTAACAGAGAGGCTGTCAGAGTAGCTAACAGAGAGGCTGTCAGAGTGGCTAACAGAGTGGCTAACAGAGAGGCTAACAGAGAAGCTGTCAGACTGGCTAACAGAGAGGCTAACAGAGTGGCTTATAGAGAGGCTGTCAGAATGGCTAACAGAGTGGCTTATAGAGAGGCTGTCAGAATGGCTAACAGAGAGGCTAACAGAGTGGCTTATAGAGAGGCTGTCAGAGTGGCTAACAGAGAAGCTGTCAGACTGGCTAACAGAGTGGCTAACAGAGGCCGTCAGAGTGGCTAACAGAGAGGCCGTCAGAGTGGCCAACAGAGAGGCTAACAGAGAGTCTTTCACAGTGGCTAACGTAGAGGCTAACAGAGGCAGAGTGGCCAACAGAGTGGCTAACAGAGAGGCTAACAGAGAGTCTTTCACAGTGGCTAACAGAGAGGCTAACAGAGTGGCTAACGTAGAGGCTAACAGAGTAGCTAACAGAGACAGAGAGGCTAAAAGAGAGGCTGTCAGAGTGGCTAACAGAGGCTGTCAGAGTGGCTAACAGAGTGGCTAAAAGAGAGGCTGTCAGAGTGGCTAACAGAGAGGCTGTCAGAGTGGCTAACAGAGAGGCTAACAGAGTGGCTAACAGAGAGGCTAACAGAGTGGCTAACAGAGAGGCTAACAGAGTGGCTAACAGAGAAGCTGTCAGAGAGGCTATTTAGAGTGGCCAACAGAGAGGCTAACAGAGAGGCTAACAGAGAGGCTAACAGAGAGGCTAACAGAGTGGCTAACAGAGAGGCTAACAGAGAAGCTGTCAGACTGGCTAACAGAGAGGCTAACAGAGCAGCTGTCAGAATGGCTAACAGAGAGGCTAACAGAGTGGCTTATAGAGAGGCTGTCAGAATGGCTAACAGAGAGGCTAACAGAGTGGCTTATAGAGAGGCTGTCAGAGTGGCTAACAGAGAAGCTGTCAGACTGGCTAACAGAGTGGCTAACAGAGGCCGTCAGAGTGGCTAACATAGAGGCTAACAGAGAGGCCGTCAGAGAGGCTAACAGAGAGGCCGTCAGAGTGGCCAACAGAGGCTTTCACAGTGGCTAACGTAGAGGCTAACAGAGACAGAGTGGCCAACAGAGTGGCTAACAGAGAGGCTGTCAGAGAGGCTAACAGAGAGTCTTTCACAGTGGCTAACAGAGAGGCTAACAGAGTGGCTAACGTAGAGGCTAACAGAGTAGCTAACAGAGACAGAGAGGCTAAAAGAGAGGCTGTCAGAGTGGCTAACAGAGGCTGTCAGAGTGGCTAACATAGAGGCTAACAGAGAGGCTGTCAGAGTGGCTAACAGAGTGGCTAAAAGAGAGGCTGTCAGAGTGGCTAACAGAGTGGCTAAAAGAGAGGCTGTCAGAGTGGCTAACAGAGAGGCTGTCAGAGTGGCTAACAGAGAGGCTGTCAGAGTGGCTAACAGAGAGGCTAACAGAGTGGCTAACAGAGAGGCTAACAGAGTGGCTAACAGAGAGGCTGTCAGAGTGGCTAACAGAGAAGCTGTCAGACTGGCTAACAGAGTGGCTAACAGAGAAGCTGTCAGAGAAGCTGTCAGAGAGGCTAACAGAGTGGCTGTCAGAGAGGCTAACAGAGTGGCTGTCAGAGTGGCTAACAGAGAAGCTGTCAGACTGGCTAACAGAGTGGCTAACAGAGAAGCTGTCAGAGAAGCTGTCAGAGAGGCTAAAAGAGAGGCTGTCAGAGTGGCTAACAGAGAAGCTGTCAGACTGGCCAACAGAGTGGCTAAAAGAGAGGCTGTCAGAGTGGCTAACAGAGAGGCTAACAGAGAAGCTGTCAGAGAGGCTGTCAGAGTGGCTAACAGAGTGGCTAACAGAGAGGCTAACAGAGTGG